TAAAGTGAGAGCAACACAAAGATAAAAAACAAAAAAAAAATTGAAGTTTTATAAGAGAGAGAAGTGTGATGTGTCGGCAGTAAGGCTCAAATTTATATAACCCGAAAAAAAAATTATCCTCCCAATAATTTTATAAAAGCTTGGTGAAGGATGGAGGGAGAAGCCCGGTACAGCAGGGGCGGGCGTTTATTTAATTTTGTGTCGGGCAGGAAGGGGAAAAATGTAATATACTTTATAATCGAGTTAACGCAGGGTTTTCTAATTATAACATCATTAACAAGAGTTACCAAGTTTGATAGAAAAAAAAAACACAATTGTTTTCGACAGTTTTCCTTAAAATATTTTCTTCCCTTGTGATTTTGGTTCTGTTACGTCTTGGCGGTGCCTCCTGCCTCGGGGTAGACACGTGAGTGATGACGCCACCGGCTTCGTCACGACACGACCTCTGTTGTAGTACAATTTTTCTCTCGTCACCATTAGGCTATATTTCTTCCGTCCCCCGATTCATTATCTGCGGCTGTCAGGAGAGCGACTCATTGGTGCTCCTTGATGGGCGAGATATTGGGAGTGAGAGGCGACTCAGGGTAGGGTAGGTGTTGCAGCCTCAGGGGATGGGCGAGAAGAGGACAGGGGATGAACATATGGTCAGAACGTTGATGCCAGTTGGGCTTTTGGGTTGATGGGGCATCGAAAAAGGCATGACTATAGGAGTAGGGTGATGCCTTAGAGAGGGAAGACGAAGGAAAATTATGAATGCATTGGTTGGGGGAGAACTGAGGTGACTACAAGAGAGGAAGAATATTAAAGGTGAGGGAATATGGAGACACGTAACCTGAGATGATCAGATGGAGAGGGATTGTACGTATGTCGGTAGATGGAAGAGCAGGAGGTGGGCAAGGAAGATCAGAATTGTTCCACTGTGAAGACGGGAACACACACACACACACACACACACACACACATACACACACACACACGCTCACACTCTACAAGCCTTGTCCGTTCGTCCATCCGCCCGTAAATTGGTTGGTAGTCGGGATGAACATTAGGAATTGCCCCTTCAATTGGATGGTACAGATTGAAGATACCGTAGAAATATTGTTATAGTTATTAGTTAGTACATGGTGGGAATTATGCTTGGAATGGTTACTATAACGGGGATGTATATGATACGAGAGACGTGTGGAAATTGTAGCCGTATCAGTATGGCGGGCGGTGCTCTTAAAATAGTTGTTTTAGGTGACGTACAGTACAGCAGTCGTACCTGGGAGTCTCATAATAAAGAACTGTCGTGATTAATGTAAACTCGCCTGTTCTTAACTGATAACATGGAAAACATACAACTTTCTGGTCATTGAATTGTCACACGAATATAATTCCTTCTGGGTGAAAAATCCAACAACATCCTGTATAGTAATGAAAACGTGAGAAAGACCGAATGTTTTAGTTTGTGAGGACAGATGTCGTTACGCGTCCCAGGTCCAAGATTAGAGCTGGCTGCCAGTACTGTGGAGACTATATGATGTGTCGTGAACAAACTAGTGGGTGTGTTTAACAGGGGACTCGTAAATTATTTCCTAGTGTACCCACCTCACCTGGCTCATGTGGGCGTACTGGCCTGCAGTCTGTCAACACAAATAGTGCTATGACTCAAGAGTGGCACTGTTGTATCTTCATTAAAGGAGGAGATTGTCTGGGTGAAAAACTAGTGTTTGTCACCAGCTGTCAGGTTATATATATATATATATATATATATATATATATATATATATATATATATATATATATATATATATATATATATATATATATATATATATGTATATATAATGGACGGTAAGTTATAATGTTGTCTTGACCTCATAAATAAATTCCGAGTTGGATGCGAGGCAGTTGTTATCATCTGGCGGGAGGAGGATGTGGCCTAGAAAATATTGTATGGTGTTGGGTGATTTATTACGTCAGACACCAAGTATTTTGTGCACCACCGAAGTGTGTTGTGCGGTTGATTATGGCGCCTTTATGGTGAAGTGGTGGGAGCTGTCAGTTTACAACATTAATGGTGTCAGACCGTCAACACCACAGTGAGAAAATGATGCACAGAGAAAACAGAGGCCTCGCCCAGACCTGAGGTGAGGAGGGTGGGTAAGGGAGGACATGAATTGTGAATATTTTTAATAAAATTGAGCTACGAAAAGTTTGGTTGTCGATAGTGTATATGTGCATATGAGCTCAGCAACTTTCGCTATAAATATGAGACTATAGGTCATATATCTGAAGCGAGATCCTTGGAGGAGAAACAAATATGAAATATACGGCGTCCGCTGTGGGGGATGGCTGGTGTTCTGAGACACCCTGAATATTTCACCGGGGAGGCCCTCGGTGCTCCCACGAGTGGCGGGCAGAGGGGGGGGGGGGGGGATGGGAGAGGAGGAAAGGTGTGGGGGAGGTGCTAGGGAAAGTGAAAAGAACTGGAAGTTAGGGATGATGGAGGAGCGAAGAAGAGTGAAAGGAAGGGGATGGGTGTTGATGGAGTGGGGAGGAGGGAGTGAGGGGTGGTGGGGTAAGACAGTGAGGTGAAAGGGAGATCAGGTGAGGAGGAAACAAGAATGTAAAGGTGTGGTGAAGGTGACTAAGGTTTAACGAGGAAGAAAGGGGGGAATAGGAGGAGAAGGTGGTGATGGGATGAGAATGGGGAAGGTGTTGGCGGCGGAGATGGGAGGGATCAGGGAAAGGATTAGGCAGGTCTCGGGGTGGGGGGGTAGAGCAGGTGATCATTGTTAGAGAGAGTGTGCGTATTTTTTGTGTCTGTTTTTGTGTGTATGTATGTGTAGGTAATGGTGAGGGCAGCATGGAGGAGGCAGATGGCGCCGTGTGTACATGAGGATCGGAATCACTCCGCTACGTACTAGGTGCATCATCCTTAACGAACCAATTGCGTGGAACTGATTGTTCGTCGGGAAGCTGAGTGGTCGTCCTGATTGGCTGATTAGTCCTCGTCTGTGTGAGTGAGGGCGAGTGTTAGGAGGACCACGAGTCACCTCCCAGCTTGTATGAGCTTCCCTAGAAATGTTTGGAGCGAGAGAGATACAATAACGGGGCTACGACCGTCTGATTTCATCTTAGTTTTATTGCCTGGACTTAAGGTACTCTCCTTCCCTGGTGAATGAAGCGCCCCTCGCCTCCTGCACCAGAGAAGGGGACAAGGACCTCTATCTACCCGGGGAATAAGTGCGAGTGTAGGTCTTCACATACACCCGGGGGTTACCTCCTCCTTGGCCTCGATTCATTTGCTCAATCCAGGGAATTACATTTTTGTGTTAATTGATAAATGGGAGTTTGATATTTTATTGGTACATTGTATTACGGTGAGGCTTAAGGGGCAGGTGAGATGAAGCTCCACTCTGTTTGTTTACTCAGGTGTAATGGTGTTTACTCATGCACGCCTTGGCTCACCTACATGCAGTACCAGGTGCATCCTTATTCAGGTACCGCATAGTCTGGTTCACCTGCAATTATGTATACACCCTCGCTAATACACCTGCACCAGATACATCCATACACAACTAGTACACTCACACCCTTTTACACTTACACCTAATACATCCACGCTTTGTACACCTACACCTAGTACTCCCACGCCTTGTTACATGTGTGGCGTACAGGTGTTGGAACAGGTGTAGATTCTGGTACAGGTATATTCGTAAACATTACTGTACCCTGTTGATGCAGGTGTTGGGTACAGATGTTGATGGGAATGTTAACCAGGGTGGGGAGGGGGAGATGGAGGGAGGGAGGGAGGATGATGAGAACCTGGGGGAGAGAGGGGGAATGTGAATCTAGGGTGAGGGAGAGAGGGTGAATGTGAACCTAGGGTGAGGGAGAGAGGGTGAATGTGAACCTTGGGTGAGGGAGAGAGGGTGAATGTGAACCTAGGGTGAGGGAGAGAGAGTGAATGTGAACCTAGGGTGAGGGAGAGAGGGTGAATGTGAACCTAGGGTGAGGGAGAGAGGGTGAATGTGAACCTAGGGTGAGGGAGAGAGGGTGAATGTGAACCTAGGGTGAGGGAGAGAGGGTGAATGTGAACCTAGGGTGAGGAGAGAGGGTGAATGTGAACCTAGGGTGAGGGAGAGAGGGTGAATGTGAACCTAGGGTGAGGGAGAGGGTGAATGTGAACCTAGGGTGAGGGAGAGAGGGTGAATGTGAACCTAGGGTGAGGGAGAGAGGGTGAATGTGAACCCAGGGTGAGGGAGAGAGGGTGAATGTGAACCTGAGAGGGTGAATGTGAACCTAGGGTATGTGGGTGAGGGAGAGAGGGTGAATGTGGGGTGAGGGAGAGAGGGTGAATGTGAACCTAGGGGGGAGAGGGTGAATGTGAACCTAGGGTGAGGGAGAGAGGGTGAATGTGAACCTAGGGTGAGGGAGAGAGGGTGAATGTGAACCTGAGAGAGGGTGAATGTGAACCAGGGTGAATGTGAACCTAGGGTGAGGAGAGAGGGTGAATGTGAACCTAGGGTGAGGGAGAGAGGGTGAATGTGAACCTAGGGTGAGAGAGGGTGAATGTGAACCCAAGGTGAGGGAGAGAGGGTGAATGTGAACCTAGGGTAAGGGAGGGATGAGTCGTGCTGTGGCGGTGGTTTTCAACGATCTGAAACGTGACTCGGGCATCTTCTTGACCGGACACCCACCTGACTTGACAGTGGCTTATACACGACTTGTACGTGACATGACCGTGGCTTATACCTGACTTGAACGTGTCATGACCGTGGCTTGTACCTAATTTGTACCTGACTTAGGTGTGTTTTCTGCTTGTTTAAGAGCGTGGCTTTTCGTGATAGTGGTGTGTTGCTGCTTGTGACAGACATGTGATCGATATAGGCAGGAGTGTGATACAATGTACTAGCAGCAACAGGCAAGTGTGTGTGTGTGTGTGTGTGTGTGTGTGTGTGTGTGTGTGTGTGTGTGTGTGTGTGTATTACCTCCTGACGTGTGTGTTTGTCTCATGCAGGCGGGCGCACCTACGGACGTGCTTGGAAACGCTGAAGGAGATGGTACCGCTGGGGCCTGACGGTTCAAGACACACCACGCTGGGTCTCCTCACCCGCGCCAAGCACTTCATTAAGGTCAGTAGTTACTTACTTGGTCACTCCCTCGCCAGTGTCACTGTACTTACCACCATCCTCACGACACCTTTCACACGGGCATCAAGAGCACTCATCCGTTAGTGTATCGATGTGTACGTACCTTTGATTAGTACATTTGTTATACCTTAATCCTATACACCCGTCAGTTACTTACCGTAGTCTTATAGCCGTACACGAGCATCAGGTGAGCGTACTAGAGGGGCTGAGTGTCTCACCTCCACCCGGGTCATTTTATAACAGGAGGAGGAGCAGATGATGGTGGAGGAAGAGGAGGCACTTGACCCGTGACCTCTCATCTCTACTCCCACTCCTCCCACCTGCCTCTTTCCCCCATTCTGTTCTTCCTCTCGCCAATCCCTCTCACCTCTCCCGCCTCTCCACTCCAGAACATTCCTCTGCTGCCTCCCCACCTTCCCCTCAGTAGCTTTGTTCACTGGGATATTTTTTTTTCTTCTTCTTCTCTCTCTCCTTTATCACTTATTGAAACCCAATCATTCCTTGTTATGTCTCGCTCCTCTTTGTTTACTCTGCGTTGTCTTGGGGGAAATGGTAAATATTGAGCCTCACAGGAAGGTGGCACAGGTCATGGTGTGGGAGGGAGGGTAGAACAGGGTCATGGTGTGGGTGGGAGGGAGGGTAGAACAGGGTCATGGTGTTGGAGGGAGGAAGAGTAGAACAGGGTCATAGTGTGGGAGGGAGGGAGGGAGGGAGGGTAGAACAGGGTCATAGTGTGGGACGGAGGGAGGAAAGGAAGGGTAGAACAGGTCATGGTGTGGAAAGGAGGGTATAGAACAGGGTCATGGTGAAGGAGGGAGGGTAGAACAGGGTCATGGTGAGGGAGGGTGGGCCGAGAAAGGAAGATTAGGGTCATGGTGTGAAAGGGAGTAAAAAGGGTAGAATAGGGTCATGGGAAGGGAAGGGAAGGGAAGGAGAGGGTAGACTGCTGCCTCATGTGAGCAACGCATCACTAACTTAAATCTTCAACTGGTATCCACTGAGCCATGTCTTGTTATAAACTTTTGTTCCCAGAAAGTTATTGCGAGGAAACCATGCGATGCTTTTATTTACCGGTCCTTTCCTATTTTTTTTTCTATTGAGAGTAGAAGTGTATGATTGATTCGCCTTTTATTTTTATTGTTATTTACTGATGAATTAATGGATATTTACTGATGAATTAATGGATGAACGGAGGTGGCATTGGTCGATAGGTGTGAGAATCTGAGTTATTTTTTTTCCTTTCGTTATTTTGTTGTTATTTTTGTCCATATTTGGTAAGCATATTTTAGGGTGTTGTCTTGGTGCATATTTCAGGTGTTGTTGGTAAGCATATTTCAAGTGTTTGTTTCGGTAAGCATATTTCAGGGTGTTGTCTCATCCCATTCCGTTTGATTACTCTCAATAGTGTTGTAGAGTGAAAAATGCCCCCATTCCTCGGGTCGACCTTAAAGGGGCGGCGCTGGTGGAGTAAATGGATGTTATTATGGTGGGTGGTGGTGGTGAGGGTGGTTGATGGTACAGGTAGTTGTTTGTAGGCCTACCACCACCATCTCTCTCTCTCTCTCTCTCTCTCTCTCTCTCTCTTTTTGGTTGACAGCTCTGAAGGTGTTATGTTGCAGGTGTTAGGAGTTGAGGTGGACAGGTGATGTGTTACAGGTGTTAGGAGTTTGGTAGACAGGTGACGTGTTACAGGTGTTAGGAGTTGAGGTAAACAGGTGATGTGTTACAGGTGTTAGGAGTTGAGGTAGACAGGTGACGTGTTACGGGTGTTAGGAGTTGAGGTAGACAGGTGATGTGTTACGGGTGTTAGGAGTTGAGGTAAACAGGTGATGTGTTACAGGTGTTAGGAGTTGAGGTAGACAGGTGATGTGTTACAGGTGTTAGGAGTTGAGGTAAGCAGGTGATGTGTTACAGGTGTTAGGAGTTGAGGTAGACAGGTGATGTGTTACAGGTGTTAGGAGTTGAGGTAGACAGGTGATGTGTTACAGGTGTTAGGAGTTGAGGTTGACAGGTGCGTTGTCGTTCACACTCCACAAGCTTCTTCCTCTTACCTGTCTCGCAACCACGCCTTTCCTTAACCACGCCTTCCTCAACCACGCCTTCCCACGACCACATCTCCCTTCAACTACACCTTCCAGGGACCACGCCTCGGATCACATCTCCCAGCCATGATTCCTGGCCCACAATTTATCAGAAACTATAATAATGTGTACTCTCTCTCTCTCTCTCTCTCTCTCTCTCTCTCTCTCTCTCTCTCTCTCTCTCTCTCTCTCTCTCTCTCTCTCTCTCTCTCTCTCTCTAGCTGTCTGTCTGTGCGTGCGTGTGTCTCGTCTCTATATACATACCCCACAAACTGCTTTATATACCCCGCCCTCACCCTGCCACCCACCACTACCGCCCTCACCCTGCCACCCACCACTACCGCCCTCACCCTTCCACCCACCACAACCTTCACCCTTCCTACACACCAAAAAACGTAAGTTAATTTTTCCCCTTCCTCTCACCCAACCACCTCCCCCTTCCTCTCACTCACTCCCCTCCACTTCCATTCACCACCCCTCACTCTCACCTTCCTCTTTCCTCTCACCCACCCACCTCCCCTTCCTCTCCTCACCCCCCTCCCTTCCTCTCACCCCCTCCCCCTCCAGCACCCTAAGGCATATAGATACGGTATAGTCATAACATATTTTCAACGTTATTATTGCCGTTTCAAGTACTGTTCCCGACAGAGGAAAACAAAAATACCAAGATATTTTTCTATTTTTTCAGTCTGCAGGGCTAAGCTTTAATGAGGTTTTTAGGCTTAAATAATGATTTTATAATTACTTAAGGTATTAGGATAGATAAGGTTTTTTTTTTAGGATCGGATAAGTTTATTTTTATTTTAATTGAATAGATAATTGTACGGTTTAAGGCCGGGGTGTCAAACTCATGGCCCGCGGGCCAAATGTGGCCTTTGGGATGGTCAGGTGTGGCCCGCGGGATGACGGTAAAATTTATCATCCCGTGAAATTATGAAAGAAATAGATATAATCATGTTTATTAAGTAGAATGAATATGACATACTTAAGATCAGACAAACCCAAATGAGGTAAGCCAGGTAAGGCAATATGTGAAGCTGTAAACTTCAATCCTGCAAATATGTGATATAGCACTTGTGTTGGCCCTGAAGAGGGTCACTAAAATAAGAATTGGCCCTCGAAAGGTTTGGAGTTTGACACCACTGGTTTAAGGGTTTTAGGGGCTTATAATTGTGTTAGGAAGGATTTATAGGTAGAATTTTTTTTTCAAGGGTTGGGTAAGAGTTGTTTTTTTGTACTGAAGTTTAAACCTCTCTCTCTCTCTCTCTCTCTCTCTCTCTCTCTCTCTCTCTCTCTCTCTCTCTCCTTCGTCCCATCCACCGTAGCTAAGGAGTTATTTAGTTGTTTATACACACTCTTTTACCTCACCCCTAATAAACATGTCTGCTGCCAAGTGACGCCTCCTGTGGTTAAGAGGGAAGACTACCCCCCCTCCTCCTTCCTCCTTGCCTCTCCTATCTCCTCCTTCTCCTCCTTGCCTTTCCTCCTCTTCTCCTCCTCCTCCTCCTTCTCCTCCTTGCATTTCCTCCTGTTCTTCTCCTACCTCCTATCTCCTCTTTCTCTTTTCGCCTCTTCTCCTCTACCTCCTCCTTTTCGTCTTAATTATCCTCTGCCTCTTCCTCCACATTCTTCTCCCCTTTATTTCTATTCGTAATTCTCCTCGTCCTCTTTCTAGTACTCCCAATTTTTCTGTTCCTCCTTCCCCTCCTTCTCATTCTCCTCCTGCTCCTCTTTCCTCCTTTTCTCATCCTCCTCCTCTGCTGCCAACGACACCATCACCAAGACTGACGATTGAAGGAACGAGGAGAGAAATGACAGGAAGACCAGCGGGAGGAGCGATGGCGGGAGCGGGAGGAACGCAAACCACAAGCGGGCGGCGGCTATCGAGAACTGTCCAGGAATCGAACGTGGGGCCTCATATTTCTGGCAGAGCGGTGCGAGTTGCCACTCTCTCTCTCTCTCTCTCTCTCTCTCTCTCTCTCTCTCTCTCTCTCTCTCTCTCGTGCTACCTCAGCTCCTTTATCCAGTTTCGTTCCTCTATTTCGTCCTCTTGCGGTTACCTCCTCCTCCTCCTCCTCCTTACCTCCCGCACCTCCCCTCTTCTTCTTTGCAGTGATGCGTCTCCCTACTTTCTCTAATATCTTAGTACCCGAGCCTGGCCATATCTCTCTCTCTCTCTCTCTCTCTCTCTCTCTCTCTCTCTCTCTCTCTCTCTCTCTCTCTCTCTCTCTCTCTCTCTCTCTCTCTCTCTCTCTCTCTCTCTTTATGTCATGATTTTTATGTTATACCTGTTCAGATTACGTCATTAGTTTTAATTTTTCTTTGATGATTTTTGCAATGTTTTTACCGGCTTTTGTTTTTTATCACACACACACACGCACTCACACACACACACACACACACACACACACACACACACACACACACACACACACACACACACACACACACACACACGAGTCGTCCTGGTATAATTTTCAGCCGTCCTCCCCCCCCTTCGCTGTACTGGGTCTCCTACCTGTCTTTAGTTCGTACTCGTCTTCATTTCCTTCATCACCTTCATCAATCTTCGTCATCATCATCATCATTTCCCTTCACTTTCACATCTTTTACACTTCATCCTTCCCTCTCTTATTCTTCTTCATTTCCTATCACTCGCACATCTCTTTTACATCATATACATCTTCATTTCCCTTCACTTTCATCTCCTACACCATATTCATCTTGTTTGTTATTTTTTTTTTTTTTTGTTTGAGGTGGGGGAGGGGGGATGGCCTCCTTCACTCGACTTCCTCCCTTCCTTAAAATATTGTCGTCGTTAGCGTCTCTTGACTAGGGGGAGGAGGGGGTGTGTGGTGTGGGGGTGGCTTGGGGTGGCTTGGCTTGTGTGGGTTAAGAGTC